GTTGTTTACGGAGGTGTCGATTGAGCTTGCGGAGGTCAAGTCTCCAGCCTCCTGTTTTTTTCTGGGTGAGGAAATAATAAGAATAAAACCCTCTTCCCATGAACTCTACTGGCACCCTCTCTATGGCCCCCATGTAAAGGAAGCGGTGGACCTCTTGTTTTAATAAGTCCCTGTGAGAAGGGCCGCTGAAGAGGGACGGGGTGGGTGCGGTAGGTGGAGAAAGAGACAGGAAGGGAAGGGAATGGTGAGGCCCGTCGACACAATTTCCAAGACGCAACGGTCTAAGGTAATATTGGCCCATTGGCGATAGACTGGCCTCAGGCGATGATGAAAGATAAGAGACCCTTGGTGTTCTGGGTTGACAACGTGTGATGTCAGTGTGCCCCCGACTGAGGAGTCAAATTTGTTGCTTGGCCTGAGTAGCGGTGTGGGTGGTCTGGGTGCGACCGTTGCATGACTGTATACTTATGATGGTCCACGAGGAAACAACATGACAGGAACCCATGGACCTCAGAGACCTCTGTACCTCCCAGCCATGGGGCAGCTCAATTGAGTGCTAATGAATGTTTTCTCAGTCATAGTCCATAAGGGGCTAATTAAAGCTGGCTCTGCTGCCCCCTGGGCCTGGTTGCTGGGGTTCATCTTCACCCAGGACAGCCATTCCTCTGCAGATGCTCAGGCAGACGGGTGCTTATCTGAGGTGAGGCTGGGTATCAGAGTGTGTTGGGGGCACCACAGGGAAGAGGCTGGGATGGCAATGTTGGATGGATGGAAACATGTAGGGTCAGGGGCCAGGATGGACTGGGGAGCAGGACAGCAGAGTAGAAACTCACATCTTCTGAGTCCCTCTGGTATCTGGCTCTAAACAGAAAATTGTTCCTCACCCACCCACAGTCACCTCGAACAGTCCCCACCCAACCCGTCCACTGTGTCTGCAGCCTCATGTCTCACCCTGTCTAGCCAGGTGCTTTGACGGTGCCTGGAGAAGGACTTCAGACATTGGTGGGTTCATGCTCAGACCAGCTTCTGTCTCCGATCTGCGTCCTTCCCACATGCTTGGGAGGGGGCTCTCTGGACACCCAGCATCTGTCTCCCTCATCCCCTTCCCCAGGAGCATCGATTTCCAGAGAGGGCTCAAACTGAGAGCTCAGAGTGTCAGGGGCTCAAATTGGGAGCTCAGAGTAGGGACGTGTTTTGTTCCCAGCCCCCTGAGAAAGATCCATGCAAAATGGACCCTTTTTCTCCCACATTTACCAAGATTGTGAAGGACAGAAACGGCCATTTCCTGCTATTCTCTCCAGCAGCTATATTGAATTCAGGTGAATTCTCTTTGGGGTCCTTTGGCATTCACTGCAAAGGTTCTGTGTTACCAGGGCCTAGGAAGACATGAAAGCTTTCTAATGGGGCAGGCAGAAGGGGGCGTGTTGTGGCCGGAATCTGAAGCCAGACCAAATCGGCCTGAAACAAAGGGATACATTTATAACCCTGAGCATAATTAATATCGGGCACAGTCTACCTAACAGGTGCTGTGAATTCACCACCTCTGACTTTTCTCAGCCAAGACAGGATGTTTGTGTAAAAGAACCGTGCCCGAAATGAAATGCGGGGAAAGCTCTAGTTTTGACTCCCAGCCTTTCCAGATGACTGGACCCCTTTCAGGATGCTGATTTGTTCTGCCTCCCCCCTAAGTTTCCCCTCACTTCCCAACGACTTGCTTAGGAAATCCCATTGAATGATACGAAGGTGTTTCACACGCTGTTACTGAGATCCTTGTTTTTATCAGATAACTATAAAATAAACCATTTGGAATGTGACTGTCACATGTACATGTCAGTGCACGGTATCCAGAGCCACATAAACAGTCTTGGCTGACTTCTCTAGTGCTTTTTAAGGAGCCCGTGTTGAGAGGAGGCAAATACCTAGTTCATGTACCTGCCTGGAAGCTCTGGGTCCACCCCAGGATACATGTCTCCTGGGCTGAACACCACTGTGCAAGAGGGTCACCAGAACTCTTCTTACTTGGTGGCTACAAATCCAGAGGAAAATCCGTCAGAAGTCCGAAAAGAACAACGTGCCACATAAGAACAGACTCATGGCCAAGCAGCAGCAAGAGACCTGCCTGGTGCATTTCTGAGGGGAAGTGAAGGCACATTCGGGTTCTGCCAAGAAGCCACCCAAGCCTATTGAATCCACCCCCTGCTGACAGATTTGTGGTCATGGCCTGTTACGAGCTTGATACGTTTGAAGGACTGACCCTGAGCAGTTATCTGGACCATCCTTCACATGGGTTTGTCTAACCTGTTCTTAAAGCATCCAATGGGTGAGTTTCCTCCAACCACCCTTGCCCATTTGGCCCAGTATTTCTCTAGCCTGACAGTTGGAAAGTGTCTCCTAACATCTCACCTGAACCTGCCTCTCTGCAATTTGATAAAGGGGCTGGCACGAGGGGATGGAAATTCGTTGAGGGAAAGGTCGGATTGAAGGAGGCAAAATCACAGCCCTCTGCGGGACATTGAACAATGTGTGAGTGTTTGCGTGAGTTGAACGGGGAGCAGGGTTGTGTAGAAATGGCCAGACTGGGTTAAAACAAACCCTCCTCCCACTCAGAATCCATCTCTGGGGTGAGCAAATGCCACAAGGTGTAAGAACCTGCAGAAGCAGGTGGGGGTCTGCCTCCACATCCCCTCATAAAATTCCTTCCAGACCACCAGTAGTGAGAAGTTTCACATCACCCCAAAGCATGAGGTTTAATATCCCTTCCACAACTTTTAGTTAGTTTAAGTGATTCTGTCTCTGGATACTCCTCTTAGCTTTGGAAATGTCCAGTCCCTCGTTTAATGTTGATAAGTTTCAGCTTAGGCACCATCCTGTGGCAATGAGTTCCCCAGTTCCTGAGGGTATGACTATGTCTTTTGATCAATTTTTTAATATCCCACTGTAATTTCATGGGCTGTCCTGTTGTTGCTGCACTGGGCAACAGGGAGAGCAGAATCCCCTGAGCCGTTTTCTTTGTCTCATTTACTTGGCATCATGCTCCCTCTTACACTTTATACACCACTCAACTCTCTTTCTTCTCTCCACAGGAGAATTTTCTGGAATCCAATGTGTTCCCAAGCCCCTGTTCAGGCTACATTTCCTGTGTAGTGTTGGGGGTAGGGGCAGAGCTGCAGGCAGGACCCAGATGCAGATAAAGGGCTGTGAGCGTGTTTCCAAACTGGTACCACGTCCCCACTTCTCCGGCTCTTCCATGAACTGAGCAAACCGTGCCCCTCTGGTCTCTCAGATAGGTTTTTCAGACATCCTGCATCCCTGCTGTCACAGCCATTTCCTATGTCTAGCTGCTATTTCCAGCCACTGGCTTGAGTCAGACTCTTCTCTGTTAGACCCAAGAGCTGCTGTGCAATTTTGTTCCCCACGTCAATACTTCTAGCCTGGGATCAAGTTGCCCTTCCACCCTCTCTTTGTTCTACTAACTAGTGTGAGCACCTGCCATTTCTCATGATCAGGAAAATTTTCCATTCCTTCAGGCATTTCTGGAGCTCTGCTCTGAACCCTCTCCCTTTGACCAACTCCCTCAACATGCCAGTTCATCTGTTTCCCAAGTGAATGGTTATTTCAGAACCTTCCTCCCATCTCACCTTGGACTTGTATGAAATTTTCATCTCTACATGGGCTGGGCGGAAAATAGAAATACCTGCATTTCACTTCGTGTGCCCATAACTTTTGGAGCTCAGTATTATAACAATGACTAGAATTCAGTGTCATGCTTCAGGGATTCAGTTGGACATCCACAATGATCAGGAAGGAATATCCCATCCTCCTTCCCACGAGGTACGGATGAAATTACCAAAAGGTGGGTGTCGAGCCCCTCTTCAGGCTACATTTCCTCTGTGGCACTGGGGAAGGGCAGGGCTGCAGGCAGGACCCAGAGGCAGACGAATGGCTGCAGGTCCCCTCTTCATGGGCTCTTCAATGAACTAAGCACTCTAGCCCCCAAGGTAGGTTTTCCAGACATCCTGCAATCCTGCTATCACAGCCGCTGGGTCTAGCTACCTCTTCTAGCCACTGGCTTGGATCAGAGCATTCTGTGCTAGATCCAAGAGCCGCTGTGCAATTTTATTCCCCGTGTCGGTATTTCTAGCCTGGGATAGAGATGCATTTTCCCCTTCTCTTCTGCTATCTAGCGTGAGGTTCCTGCATCATTCATTATCAGGCAGGTTTTCCAATCCTTCAGGCATTTCTGGGGCTCTGCTCTGAGGGATTGACCAACCCCCTCCTGAATCGCTTTTCGGCTGTTTCCCAAGAGGGTGGTAATTTCAGACCCTCCTGACTCACCTTGGACTCCATGTATGACCTTGTCATCCCTACATGAGCCTTGCTGTTAATAAACTGATAATAACCTAATAACCCTTTCCGTGCCTGTAACATTTGGAGCTCAGTATTATAACAGTGAGTAGAGCTCAGTGTCATGTGTCAGGGATTTACCTGAGCATCTACAGTGCCCAGGAAGGAATATTCAGCCCCTCCCATGAGGTCTACATGAAATTATCCTAAGATAGGTGTACAAGTGGTCAAAAGACCATCCTGAAAGTGCAGTTGTCTTGTTGAGTGTGAATGCGAGTCAGCAAAGTGGAGCAGCTCTGACAACACTGCGCTAACAGGCTGGGGTGGGAACAGGAGCATCGTGGGTCTGACACGGGAAGAGAGTTTCCAGCTCTGCTTGGCACTGGTGAGCTCTCATCTGGAGCTCTGAGTCAAGTTCTAGGTGACACATGCTGCACAAGCTGTGGGCAAATCGGAGACAGTCCGGGGAGAGCAGCCAAAGGGCAAAGGTTTAGAAATGCATCTCTAGCAGGCAGAGCTAGACAAATGGGGCATGTTTGGCCTTCATGAAAAGAGACAGAAGGATAGTAATAGAGGTGCAGCTGTGTTAGACTGATCTTGCTGAAATAAAAGACAGGACTATGCAGCACTTTAAAGACTAACAAGACGGTTTATTAGATGATGAGCTTTCTGGCCCACAAAAGCTCATCACCTAATAAACCATCTTATTAGTCTTTAAAATGATGCATAGTCCTGTCTTTTGGAGACAGAAGGGAACTTGGTATCAGGCTTCAAGGACACTAAGGCTGCTGGCTGACCCGGGCCAGCATGTCAGTCTGGTAGTCAGAGGAACACCGGGACCCGGAGTCTGTACGTCACAGGTACGCATGGTTGGACCAGAGCAATGACTTTTACAGTGACCGTCTGCGACTGAGCAGAACGGAGCCAGGGTTGGGTTGGCATCTCCACGGTGGGAAGTTTAAATAGCGATTGAACTGTTAAACCGTTCCCCAAATGGGATTTGGTTCCCAAGGAGCAACAGGCGGAATGTGTCAGCACATCACCTCACTAACAGTTCCCTTCTCTTCCCCACTCAGGTGCTGCCACAGCCCCCGCCATGGACGAGGGCAACTGGACGTCCATCTCCGAGTTTGTGCTCCTGGGTCTGTCCGAACAACAGGACCTGCAGCCGCTGATCGTTGCGGTGCTCCTGGTCACCTATCTGGTGAACCTGGCAGGCAACTCCCTGCTGCTGGGGCTTGTATGTGCTGACCCCCAGCTCCGCAGCCCCATGTATTTTCTCCTCAGCCAGCTGGCCGTGGTGGACATGAGCTTTGCCTCCATCACCCTTCCCCAGGCTCTGGTGCACGCCCTGACCCAGCACCGGGCCATCTCCTTCACCAGTTGCATGGCCCAGCTCTTCCTCTTTCTGACTGTGGGCAACATGGAGGGCTACCTGCTGGCTGCCATGGCCTACGACCGCTATGTGGCTGTCTGTGACCCGCTGCGCTACTCTGCTGTGGTAACATGGTCCCTGTGCCTCAAGATGGTGGCTGCTTCATGGGCCGTGGTGATCCTGCACTCCCTGCTGGCAACTGTCATGGCCGCCCAGCTGCACTACTGTGGTAACCACCTGCAGCATTTCTTCTGTGACCTGCCACCGCTCCTGCTCCTCTCCTGCACCCGGCCCCTTGCCAATGAACTTGTTGCCCTCACCGAGGGTGTCTTGGTAGTGCTAAGCCCTTTTGCCTTCATCATGGCCACTTACACCCGCATCGGGGTTGCTGTGGCCCGCCTGCGCTCTGCCCAAGGCCTGCGCAAGGCCCTCTCCACCTGCAGCTCCCACTTGATTGTGGTGTTGCTCTTCTATGGCACCGTGGTCTGGCCCTACTTCCGCCCAGACTCCAGTGATGCTGAGGGGCACGACCAGCAAGTGACCTTCTTCTACACTGCGGTGGCGCCCGCTCTGAACCCCCTCATCTACAGCCTGAGGAACAAGGACGTGGCTGCGGCCCTGAGGAGGGTATGGAGGAGGGTGCGGGCTTGGGGCATGTGAGTCCAGCCCATGGCTGCAGTGCTGCACTGGGCATGGACTTTCCACCCAAGATATGTCTGGGGAACCTTCCCCCTTAACTCCTCCAGGATACCTGGGTGCTTTTCTCCTCAGACATGAGGCTAATGAAACTAACACATATGTGGGGTCACACCCACCAACACACACACAAGTACAGACAGCCCAAGTCTTTCCATGGAAAAGGGGGTAAATTACAGCATGTTCTCATGGGCATGGCCACACTGAGTCAGCCCCAAGGCCTCTTGTATTAATTTAGTTAATATGCATCGGCCCAAAGATCTGAACTTAATAGTAACTAGACTGGGTCAGTTCAATGGTCCATCTAGCCCAGTATCCTGTCTTCTCATGGTGGCAAGGTGCCCCAGAAGAAATGAACAAAATAGGGAATTGCTTTCACTCCTAGCTTCTAACAATCGGAGGCTATGGACACCCTCCCTGCACATTTTGTCTAATGACCATTGATGGACTTGTCCTCCATAAACTTAACCCAATTCATTTTTGAACCCTGGTATAATCTTGACCTTCAGAACATCCTCTAGCAAGGAGTTCCACAGGCTGACTGTGCACTGGATGAAGAAGTGCTTCATTTTGTTTGTTTTAAATCTGCTTCCTATTACTTTCATTGTATCACCCTTAATTCTTGTGTTACAAAGAGTAAAAAGCCTTTCTTTATTTACTTTAACCCCCAAGTCGTCACTGTTCCAAGATGAAAAGTCCCCGTCCTATAAATCTGTACTCATAGCGAAGTACCTCGACCATCTGTGTTTGTGTTTTCCTTCTCTGCACCTTCTCCAAGTCCAAAACGTCTGTTCTGGAACTGAAGGGGGAACATTGGCACACAGGGGTCAAAGTGTGGTCGTGCCATGGATTCATGCAGAGGTTGTGGGATATTTTCTGTGTCATTATCTGTCCCTTTACTAATGACTCCCAACATTGTGGTGGCTTTTGGAACTGTTGCTGCATATCAAGGGGAGATGGGTTTGTCTAACAGATCTGTGCTAGGAATTCCCCTCCAGCTGAGACCTAAGCCTGCTCCTCTTCTCACTCACACTGACCATCTTCCTGTTGGGCCTGGTGGTTCTGATCTGGGACAAGGGCTCGCTCCACACCCCCATGTACTACTTCCTCAGCCACCTGGCGCTGCTGGACCTCTGCTTCTGTTGTGCTGGGGCCCTGTTGCCTCTGCCGTGGGATGGTGCTGGGTTCTTATGCAGCGGGGCAGCCAGCGCCGCTATGCACACCAGCCTGGCCTTCCGCCTGCCCTTCTACCAGGCCCATGTCCTCGACCACTTCTTCTGCATCATCCCCTCTGTGCTGGTGCTGGCCTGAGCCAACACCAGCTTCAACCAGGCCCTGCTGCTGGCCATTTGTGGCACCAAACAGAGTGTCACCTTGCTGGCCATCCTGGCCTGCCATGGGCTCACCCTGGGGGCCGTAGGACAGGTGGGCTCGTGCCGGGCTGCCTTTACCTACAGCTCCCACCTGGCAGCTGTGGCTGTGCACTATGGGACCATCATCTTTACGTATGTGCAGCCTGAAGGCAGCTATGCCACACAGGCCGACATGATGGCCGCCGCTTTTTACACCATGGTCATCCCCACCTTTAATCCTGCTATCTACAGCCTGCGCAGACCTGATGTCAAGGTGATGTCAAGCTGGTTAAGCAGCTCCTAGACAGGTGCCACTGAAGCAGGGGCTGGAGGAGGGTGGCTAAGAACAAGGGAGATGGGGAATGAAGGCTGTTCAGGGTTTGGAATGGCACTGTCCTACTACTGCAGTGTAGATGCAACCCATGCAGACTGTGGGCACATCGGTAATGCATCTCTCCAAGTGACAGTAGCTAAGGTTCCAATGACTCCCATTGACCAGTGGTTAGGTGGGTTTAGCTATGTCTGTCTGGGATGTGGATTTTTCATGTCCCACAGCACTATCGTTGAGTTGAGCTACCCTCTGTGCAGAGCCCAGGGATGAGAAAAGCAGTCAAAGTCTAGCCAACAGCCCTTTTAGCTCTCTACTCCATCTGTGAGCACTTTTCTTTCAGTCATATCCTGTCCTCATTGGACAAATGTGCACTGAGAGCCAATGGGGATGTTTTCCTGAATCCAACAGCTGCTCTCAGACTGTCAGACACCAGGGATGTTCTCAGTCCATCATCGACAAGATGAAACCCCACTTTCCTGTCTCTGCATTTCATGCCAACCCCTTGCAAGCTTGGACCCTAGGAACAGGGGGACAGGATTGGGCCCATCTGTGCCTTCTCCTAACCCTTTGGAATTGAGTGGTTTCCTCCAAATATTGCTGAGGCGGGGAGAATTGAACAGTGATCTGGAGTTGCACCCCACCTCTGTGCACATAGTTCAGGGGTGGGAGGAGTCCTAATGTCTCCAAGCATCTCTCAGAGCTCTGTG